CTTGCACTTTTAGATGGTGTCTCTCAATGGAATGGACTGATTGTATTCAGGTTTGCATGCTTCTGTGGTGTAGTCTGGCATGTGATATTGCAAAAGTGAAGGATACTATGTGGCCAAGGAGGGAGAAGTACAGTCTTACTGACATATTTGGATGTCTCTCCAACTTGAAAAACAAACTGCTTCATAGTGAGAAAGTCATCGGGGGGAACCCTCCACCACACTGTCCAGGATACTCCCTTGAAGACTGAACCATTAGCAGAACTAATTTCTGGCAACTTACCCTGACACCCAGAGACTGGAAAGGCGTGATTTTCACCTGGATGGCCAAAACAGCTATGACTATAAAAACTTTTTAGACAGTTTGTGTGGTAAGAAAAAAATATAATAACTGCCTGCAAAAGGCTGAATAGCAATGTGAAAGTAGGCACCTTCTAGGTCAAGAGATGACAAGCAGCTTTCTGTTGCAGAGAGAGTGGTTATTGGTACTGCAACTGTTTTAAGCTTATATTTTTGAATATACTGATTCAGGTTTCTCAAGTCCAGGACTGATTGTTCTTCATTCTCTTCTCTTTGGAACCAGACAATAAGTGCTGTACAATCCCTTCCCTCTCAGGCGAGTTGGAACATATTCCTCTGCTCCAGGAAACAAATAAACAATAAAAGACTATAATTCCTGTTGGAGGCCCCTTCCGTTTGTCAAAATGGTTCCTGCAAACGGAGAGGTAGGGGAATCAGGAGAGGAAAGAGTAGCAGTCACAATGACCTAGCCACTTCTAGTTGTATCAAAAGCCAGCAAGTCTACAATAATTATGGTTTAAACAGAGAAGAAAATGGTGAGGCAGTTGTAAAAAAGGGAGAGAGGGAGGAATTGAATTGAAATTTTCTTTTCAGTGTATCCTCAAGACTCCTTTAATAGATTTGTCACAATGAGAGAAGTATGAAGTTCCAAACTGCTGGTATCTATGTAGCCTCTGCCTCTCTGGAGGCTCAAACTGGCAGGTAAGAACAGGGAACAGATGCTGATCAGAGGAAACGATTTGGCAGAGGTTGCCTGTGGGACAAGAACTGGTGGAAACAAGGTTTAAGTGGTCATGAAGGGCATTTATACAGATACCTTTTTGTTTCATGATGCTTTGGAAATCCACTGCTTTGGAGCAGACTGTTAATCGAGTCTGCTCCGCATACAAGCTGATGTGAACTGCGCCACACCGCATGCAGTTGTATAAGTGGCAAAATGCACATCAGCGTGCAGAAAATGGCAGCAGTGCACTTTTGAATTAAAACACCTTCTATGTGTTTTTAGTTCAAAAGCATGCCACTGGCATTTTCTCAGCACTGACACACATTTTACCACTTATACAACTGCATGCGGCACAGCAGAGTTTGCATCAGCTGTGGTGCTTGCATGTGTAAAAAATGCCCAAAGATAGCTAGATTTCAAGCAAGCACAGAGTATTTTCATGAACAGAATCTCATCAGTCTTGCTGCTGAACAGCTGGACACCCTTAAATGGAAGACTGTAAACTTTTCTAGACAGACCCACGCTGAGAAACGAAGATGTTTTCCTCGTGGCTATAAAGTGCAATGCACTATCCAGTGTTGAGAGCTGCTTGTCAAGCAGTCTTAGAAACTAGTGTGTCTTCCATATGCAACATAGGAAGTAATCCTTAGAGCTGCAGATCATGTCTAGCTAGTTGGTCATATAGTTTGAAGTCTTATCTGGGTCCGGGAGTTTGCAATGTGGAATTCAAACCTGCAAAAGAGTAGGGCTTCTTATCAAATAGAGCCAGGTGTCTTGGTTCCTTCTCCTTTGCAGCTACTAGAATAAGTGAGGGTGAGACTGGATACGAGTAGGGAAATTATGCACCTTTTGGGGCACTGTATTTTTTGTCCATTTGTTTGTCAACAGAGAAGACAGGTTCAGGAGAGTGCCAAATTTTATGGTTTCAATGCTGAAGGAAAAATAGTCAGTGCGGAGGAAGATGTGAAGTGAAGGTCCCAATCAGAGCAAGACCAGCATCACAATGGCTGAATATACAGATGACAGTGGTGTCAATTTGAAATACCTTTTTTACTCTTGATATGTGAGACCCGTGAAAGTGTGATCAGTCTGGAATCTGAGTCTCTTTGGAAGGCCTCCAAGACAAACATTCTGGGAATCAGCTCTATAACCTCCTCCAGATCCCTATGCAACTGGGAGGTCTTAGCTCCAAAATGATCAGTATAACCATTCTTATGAGTTCAGTGCATTCCCAAGCACTCAGTGCATTCAGAAGTGTTTGTGGGATGAGTAAGGACTTTGTGAGAAGTCAGGGATGAGGAGCAGAGGCATAACAAGGCAGCCAAGTGCCTGGAATAGCTGCAACACATGGGGACAGTGGCAACTTCTGAAGGCCACCATGCCACTGGCACGATTGTGGAGCTGCAGTGGCAGCTGTTTTTTTCAGCCCCCTGTTGGTGCCTGGGGCAGCTGCCGGGTTTGGCTGCCCTGGCCGCCCCACCCTAGTTATGCTACTGATGAGGAGCCATTCCTCCTTGCTCTAGTCAGTGAGCAATAACGAGTCATTGTTTCAGTAGCCAGTCATTAGCTGCTGTGCTGGCAAGAAGCTGACCCCACAAAACACTGCTTTAAAACCAAAAGGGATGACTGAGATGAACTCACTGCACTAATTTTCTGGTAAGCTCACTGAAGGCTGACCCAGGGTCTTCTTTCTAGGCCTGAGCTATTGAAGGAAGGGACCTATATTGATGGATATTCTGCCTCCCACAGTTCATCTAATACTCTTTTACCTGTAGCTTTGCTTTAGGTCCCCCCTTGCAGCTTCCATTTAACCTCCACCATCATGCTGTGGGATACATTACTCCTATTGATAACTATTGATAACTTCATTGATTTTGAACTTTGCTCGAGTTGATCTCATTCCAGTTAAAAATAAAGCCATTTCTTTGGCAATCAAAACCACTGACAGCTCTTTGCTGTCTTTCAGGTCTATTACCTTTAAGATGGCCCCTCGTCGGTCATCTTTCAATTGCATAGTGGGTCATTACAATTTGACTTTATCCACTTGGTACTTTGTATTTCTTGGTCTGGGTCTGAACTATCTGATTCAGTTCAGACTACTACCATCCAAATGCAAACCCTCTACTATCACATGGGTCATACAACTGCCTGTCTGACTTCCAGTCTGCGGTGGCAATGCCTTTTGGGCTGTCTACATATTGTCAGAATGAGAACATGCAGCTCTGAGAGACTTACAAGAAAACTTTACAAATGGATTCATTTGCTTATCTACCTCCCTGGCAGATGCCCAGCCTCTGCTAAAGAAGGCTGGCTACTATGCTTCTTTGTAGACTACTGGACACTCAGTAGGGTCACCTTCCATAATCAGTATGTGGTGTCCCTCATTAATGAATTATCTAAGAAACTCCAGACTTTCATCAAACATAACGTATAGGGGCAAACAATTTGATCTGCATCTTCAAGGGTGACTAACACATTTTATACCTACTACAGACACTTTGAATATCTCATTGTGTCTTTTGGGCTCTTTAGTGCCCTAGCTAAAGCATTTTATAGATATGTTACATCATTAAAAACACTGTAAAATATTTTGTATTAGACTTGCTTGCAGTGGCACATCTAAACAACTCGCTCTGTTGCTTGAAAGACCAAGAGCAACACAACCAATAATCAGTAGACCACACTAATCACATCCCCATCCTGACAGTTGGTGTGAAGCTGTGCAATGTCAGGGAAGGCAGCAGCTGCCATGAAGAGGTGACACCTGCTCCAAGCCCTGCTACCAGGGTTGAAGAAGTCAGGGATTTGCCAAGAAGGAATATATGGCATTTTACCTTGACCTCCTTTCTTAACCTGGCTTAAAAGGACTGGAAAATATCACACTTGTTGGGTGTCCAAGCCTTTCCAAGGCAACAGAGAGTAAGAGGCAGGAACCAACCCTCCACAAGAGTAGAAGCTTTGAAACCCCAGTAACCTTGATGAAAGTATCACAAAAATAATAAAAAGTGGAAGGGCCTCAAATAAAACAGGAAAAGCAAGCAAAAGCTTGGTCTCAAGGTATCCGAAACCAGAAGAATGGCACAACATAATGTGGTCCCAAAACAAAATGGTGTGTGTTGAAGGGAGGGGGAAATGGTAATCGAGACTGTCCCTCACAAAAAAAAAAAAGAAGGAACTCCGATATGAAGAAAATACCCAAAGAAACAGAAAAAGGAAACAGGAAAAAAAGGGAAAAGTTTGGTGTAGGGTTTATGAGCAGCATGAAGAAACCCTTTTCCTGACAGGAACCAGCTGGTGCAATATTTCTGACTGGTAGGAAAGGCTCCTGTGACAGAGAGTTAATGTGACCACCAGCAAGGCTGGCTGTAAAAAAGAATTCCATTTTATGGGGGAAAAAAAGTATTCAGCAGTTGCCTTTTTCCATTTCAGAGACTGTTCAATTCAAATCAGGGTTAAACCTAGGTCCCTACATCCCAGGTGAGTGCCTTCATCACTGATTTATTTTGGACAGTCTCTCTCTTCCTCTCCCATCCCCACTCTGCTGGACTTGAGAAAACATTCTGATTAAAGTTTTAACAAAACCACTGCATTTGTGAAAAGTTTCAGTTTTATGAGTTAGCATTTTCCTGACCAGTTTCTATTTTCTGTCCTTTCAGCCTGTTCCAGAGGTCTTTCCTAGGCTTATTTTTTGTGAACACGTTGGTTCCACATTACCTCTTCTTTTGTCGAATCAGGTTTGGGCAGGATAATACTGTGTCCAACTGTGCTAAGAAGCAACTCTCAGTGAGAGTTTTGTTACCATTTCACTGGAAGAACTGGGCTCTCACATGACAATAAGGACCTAAATAAGAGTAAAATAGAGTAGTTTCAATATTTAAAAATAAGTACTATTTGCAGTTTTCAATTTAGATTCAGGAGAAAGAGTTCTTAAAAAGACATGAAATAATCAGTATAGAAGTATAGTATAAGTATGGTAAAACCCACAAGTTAAAATATTTTATTTTATTTTCCTCACCTAAAAAACAAGCAACCCAGAATTAAGATGTACATAGGATTCCCAGATTTATCCTTAATAAAACTTTTGAGGATTTATACAATTTCTACAGAAACATACAGTGTATCAAAATCTGCATAAATCAAATTTATAAAATGTGTAGAAATGCATAGTGATATTATCATCAACTTACAAAGCAAGGAAATGGGAATTTTTTTCCCCAAGCAGGCTACAGTAGGAAAAAATCATTATAGCAACAGCTTCTGATGTTCTCATGTTTTGTAAGGTTTGCAGTCTCACATACAGATTCATATTCACATACAGCATCAGTTTTTAATGAATTGCACAAAACACCCATTTAAAATGCACACCTGCACAATTTATGTGCCACCTTTCTTTCACTTATGCATAGTAACATGATTAAATTAATCTACCCAACACAAAAAATGGAGTCAGTTTTCATACACACAAAAACAAAAAGTACCTACACCCTTATTTTCCTTTTTCCAGTTTTCCATCCTTTATTTTCTTTTATTTTTCACACCTTTTGAAGGATAGCTGAGCAGTTTAAGGACACTGGAGAATATCTTAAATCATTAATATATATGTGCAGACAGGCAGGTTGGAAAAGCTTAAACTCTGCCTCTACTTACAACACCATTCATTAACTTCAGTGGAAATTCCATCCAATGGTAGTCTAGATTTGAGGGCAGAATTTGGTCCTTGAAACAAATACTTTCAAAACTCCAAGTCAGATGTTGTATACTTAACTATGACTTTGTGATGTCATCAGTACCTCACCATCACAGAACCTTAAACTGGGAAAAGAAGAGGACTAGATATTGCATAAATGTAATTTATATTATTCAATGTAAATATTTCTATTTTTAAGGGAATGGGCCTAATAGAAATTCTCAATTAAGAAGCTAATTTGTACACATTCTAGTTTGCACACAACTGCAGTTGCATTGTAATTAAACAATTAGGTAACTATGTTTTAATTTGGGTTTGTGAATCTACAGGAGTTCATAACTACATTCATTGAAAAAAAGAGTACTTAATTTGAACAGATACAGCTTCAGGTTTTCCTATCCTCTTTTCAAGTTTAATTCTGAATCTATGATTTCAAATATCCTTTCAAAGTCTGCACATATATGTTAATGATTTTTTTTATTTTAAAGTTTCAGCTCATATGCAAATAAATTCCATTTACAGTTATAACGTAAGTGAAACATTGGATAAGTCCTAGTTTTATACATTGTGCAGCTTTAGCTTTTTCATATAAGGCATGAAAGAACAGTTAGTGCTTGGAGTTCTTAGCTGTAATTCAGAGTGCTTACTTTCATCAAATGTATCACACAGTGCTAACTTTCAGGTTCAGTTTTCCTTTGCAATATATATATATATTTAAAGTTCATTTTCTTCAATGCTATTTAACATACCGGGTATATGGAACATAGTGCTACTCATCATCCCTGGTTTAACTTCCTTAAAATTCCAATGGTTACAGCACCTGCAGCAAATGGGCATATTGCAGTACTTTTGGAAACCCAGAGAATATTTCTGGTCTGTGCCTTATTTGACTCGTCAATATTTGAGGAGGACAGCAGTCAAAGTGGCAACCCAAATTTATCTTCAGTAATATAGTAATTCCATGGGCAGTACAAATGATCCCTATCAAGGTGACAGCTCAACATATCCATACTATAAATTCTGTCAAATATTTGACTTGTAAAATATATAGAGAAATGAAAGAGGCACTAAATATGTTGAAATTCACCTTTCAAAAAAGCAGCATGAGTGTGAAAGAAGGCCACCCTGGCTAATGACCTGTGGCAGTGCTAGGTAAGATGTAAAATTAAATAAAAAGATACAACAGGTTGATAATCACCAAGTTATATGAATAAGTCTGGTTACTCCAACCTTTCAAGTGTGTGTAAAAAAACTGCCTTCAGACCCCTGAGTGTAATCCCAAAGAAGACAACAGTGCTTTTAACTTTGTTCCTATGCAACATAGCTAAAAGCACATTAAATTACCAACATCTGAAAACAAAAAGATGTAAACATCTACAAAGTTTAAGGTAAAAGCAGTTTTGTAAACATTAACTGCAGATGATAATGTTATTGTAATAATCACAGTTCATCTATGTCCTTCATCCAAGTTGAGAAGTTCCAGGCTTGCAGCTGTACAAAGTTAATAGTTGCAGCAGTTTTCAGGCTATTCTCAGTCCTGTACATATTAACACGTCAGTAGGTAGGGTTTTTTTTGTCTACACACTAAGAATGTTGTTCATTTCCCATTTTTGTGTTGCTTTACTGGAGTCACACTCAGAGATAAAGACCTGATGTAGGACCTCTGAACGATCTAGGCATTTCCCCGAAGGAATATGAGTAAATCTGTGCATATTCTGTAAAACAAAAAATCATTAGAAATAAATTGACTTTTTTCCCCACCTACTATATGCAGCGATCTTCTGGAATGAAAACAAGTTACCTATAGTTCCAGTGAAAGGCTCAATTATAAATTAATTTAAATAATTTGTTATGCCTATATTTTCTCATCCTGCAATATCACTAGTTGGTAAAGAAATGCATTTTGGTGTACTTTAAAAACCACACTTTCACGCCTTAGTATCACAACTGTTTCTAAAAAAGCTTTTTCAATATTACTGCCCATCACAGAATTAAAAAATAACAGTATAAAGTAGAGATGCTTTTAAATGTGTCCTTTCCTACTTAGCTCTTACATGTGCTCCTGATGCTGCCATCTCATCTCAGGTTGTAAACACAATAGTGACACTCAGTGCATTAACACAAGGGAGCGAAGTTACAGTTTTTGGCTCAGCTTTCTCACTTTTTCTTTTCCTTGACTGGAGAAGCACACATGTAATAAACTTTGGCCCCAGAACATCAGAAGGCCCAACTGCCTAACCAGATATAGCCATGGTCTCTGGCATCCTTGACCACTACCAATGAATATTTAGAGTTGTGTTTGCATCACCTCTGTTTTGCACACAGAAGTACCACTGATAAGTATGACCCATTCCCTCATTCCTGTGCTCTGTATTCCATATAACCTAGAAATGAGGCAAGGTAACTGTATTAGAGTAGGCCTGAATTGTTCTAAGGCCTCCTGTCTTGTCAATGCTTACTAGCCTATGATCAATGTCAGTCTAAGGCAGTTACTTTGCCTAATACCTTGGGTTACATAAAGTGAGTATAGAGCATGCCTCATGACAACACTCCTAATGCAACATGTTATACTTGATCCTCTAAAGTCACACGAATATGATTATCTGGTTGGCAAAGACACACAGATAATCCCTACCCTCCAAAGATCCCACATTCTGGGTACACCTACACATGCACTTTACTGAGGAGTAGATTAGCTAGCTCTCCAGTAAAATGTCAATATCTCCATCTGTGCCGGTCTGCAGTAAACTAACTCTACTGACAGGGACACTACTATCTTATGGCAGAGTACTTAACTGTGCTGAAACAAATGTGTACAGTGACCAGATGGGGAGCAGACTTCTGCCTGCCACCTAGGCTCTGTGAGGTCAGCACCCTCAAGGCCCAGCCAGCCCCTCCACCACCCAGAGCATAAAGCTGACACTCCCTCCTCCTTCTCCCCCCCAACCCCGTGTGTTCCCTGCAAGCCCAGGCCTGCTCCACCCTGGCTCAAATTGCTGCTATCCCAGGCACACATGTAGATGCTGTGCCCAAGAGCAGCTGACTCTGGTACAAACTGCTCTGGAGTTTATTACTTCACCTTAATTTCACATGTAGATGCATCCTCTCTGTAATACTGAGAATTTAGCATACCCAGTATGCTAGATAGGCATCTTCTATTGGTGTAGTCAGAAAATCAATGTGAGAGTGCATTCTGGCATTCAACACTTCAAATATATATTTTGGCCCTCAGATATAATCAACTGAGTAAGCATGTATTTGAAGGATAGCTTTTACCTTTAGTTCTCTCTCTACAGGAACAAAAACTCTAACCTTGGTACTTAAGGTAAAGTAAAACAAGCATTTTAAAAGTTAGTTTCTATACAAAAATACATATTTACTAGACAGACTATCTGCAAAGGTATACTGACATACCAATTCTTAAAATTTCAGATACTGCACAGCTGTAGTGGACTTGTACCATAGCCATACTTCAGAAGACATGTTACTCGGGGAATATGCAACTAATGCAAATGAAAAACAAGTGCTGAACAAAGCACAAGACAATGTAAATAAGTAATCTGTTTCTATTTCTGTATGATTAAAATACATATTTGTTGAAAGTAGCACCATGTCAATTTAGACATCACAAACTATTCAAGTTATATTAATCTAGCTGTTAAGCTTTACCCCAGAGACTATGTTCTCTTATGACTGCACTGACATTGTGGAACACTCTACTGATAGGAAGTACATCAACAGGAAGGTTTTTGTGACCACAGGTTGTTGCAACCTCCATTACTAGTACGGAGATCAGAGTAATGCCAAAGGGACTGTGCTGATAGCTGGGACAAACCTTTTTGGCAGGCATGCCACAAATTAGCTTTGTACCCTCCCCAAGGTGTAACACCAATTCCCTTCTCCTGCCCAATCTACTGTTCTACTCCCTGCCCCATCTGCTGCTCTGTTTGCTGCTTCCTGCCCTACCTGCCATTGTGCTGTCTGTCCCCTCCCTGATCTACCACATGCCACACAGAGGCTGCCCGTGACACTTGTGGCACATGTACTGCATGCTGCCCGCATCTGTGCTAATTTATCACATATCTATAGTAATATATGTAGCGTAGTGGGATTTAAAGGGGCTTTTCTGCAGCCGAAGTCCTGGAAGAAAGAAGATATAGTGGCAACAGATCACAATTCTCATCAAGATCAATTCCTCCTAATAAAGGAAAGGGAGAGATTGGCGCAGGGAACTGCAATTTTTCTTCTTGCTCCATTAAACACAGTGAATTTGGTCTTGAATCTTTGCTTTCAAGAATAAGAGAAAGAAGTCTAACCGATATGTTAAGGTCCATCTCTTATTTAGTGCCAGTCACTTACCTTGAAGTATTGCCATTCTTTGTATTCATTCAGATTACAATGCATAATCATAACTTTTGATCCATCAGCTCCCTTAGTCAAGCACTGGTCATATTGCATGAGCTGATTAGCTTCATTGATTCGGAAAAGCTAAGAGAAACATTTCCAAACATCTTCTTATTACTGTAAACACAACAACTATGAAGCAACTAAAAACCTAAGAACAACAAAAATCACATCTTGAAAATTGCATCTGTCTGTGCCTGAGCAGGGCTAATTTACTTTGTGTGGTTTAACACACTAGCTTTTCACAATCAAAATCCAGTTTCTGGATTTAGATTAACAACTTTAGCTTTAAGAAGAAAAAGGATCAATGCAAAAGATTTTACTTTGGTGGCTTCTGAAAACAGTTGAAAAATATCATTTTATGAATTGATGCCTATTTTAGTACTACCTCTCAAAAAAGCTGGTAGCCACTGAATTTTATCCTGGCCAGTAATTCAACTGAGGACACCAACAGAATAGAAGACAAACAAAGACAAATCCAAATTCAAACAAATGACTTCTGTTATTTTTTAAGACTGGTATTGGACTTCAACATAAGACTGAAAAAGTTAGTTTTTGCAGGCTACCATACTATAGTTCAGACTACATCAACAACATAAGTTAACCAAACATTTTACATGGGAGATGCCATTCTACATCTGACTGCAATACTGATATGACAAAGCTCAACCATGTGGGCTTCAGTTAATGATACACAATGACAATGACAAGCATTTTGTTGTTAACTCATTCCTATCATTTTGCTTTGAACCTATATATAAGTTCAGCTAATATATAGGCTTTACATTTTGAAAAGATAACCAGTTCAAGAAGAGAAAGGTATAGGACTATTTGAAGGATGCTATACTAGTGTTAATGACAGAATTGTGAAGACTAGGACAAATAGTGTAGTAAACTTTGTAATTACAATTAGCTTTTAGGAATCAAGCTTGGTTACTGCAATTTAGTTTCACTTATAAACGAATCTGGATTTAAATTTCTTGTTTCAAGTGATGAAAAATGTAGTGCATTGCATTAGTGTACCATACAGGTACATTAAAGCAAAACAAGTTTGAGAAATAGCAACTGAGACCAGAGTGGGTAAGGGAGTATTTCCTGAGAATTTAACAACTGGTTGAGGTTAAATCATGAATCATCTCTGATGCCCAGAGTTCTGATTGTTCTACTGCAATGATATAGATGTTTAAAGAAAAGCTTCTGCCTTGTCAATATGTACCTCACAGGTGCCAATCCTAATTCAAGAACTTCTACTGTTCTTCCTAATATCTACATAACTTCTAATTGACATATATACAATTTTGTACAATGTGTGCGCACCTGCAGCAATATTTCCATTTAACAACATCAATATTATTACATCTAATTTTACACAGTTTAAGCAAATCCCAAATTCCCACCCTAAAGTTTGTCCAATTCCTCTCCCACATCTAATCTAGTTTTTTTAGTAATATAGATTTATGGACAACCTTAGCAGAAAAATAGCTTTTTGACTATTCTTTGCAAATGCTTCTCTCTGGTAGCAGTAACATCCTCACATGGTTTTCTTCAGATGCTACTGCACAGTAGTAATGAGCTACTGTGCAGTAGCTTGTTACTACTGCGCAGTAGTGTCACGTCATGGATAGCACCCGCCAACGTGACTTCTCAATAGCGTCTTGTGTAGACATGCCCTCAGAAAGCAACCCCTTTGAATTTCTAGTTTCTTACCTGATTTCCTCCCATTCTGTGGCATGGTCCGAGTTCAACAATGCCACCATTGTTGTGCCCCATGCTATCTATGCAGTAAGCTGTCTCAAAGCCCCTGACCTAGAAAAAAAAGTTTTCAGTTTAGCTTGGTCTCTGTGAAATTCTGATTGCTGAAGCAAAGATGTTTGGAAAATTCTTATCCTGCTTACAACAAAAACTACACACACCTTCTGAAGCAAGATTGCATGAAATTTAAATTAAATGAAAACAATGTTAATTTTTCAGAAGAAAAATAGATTTATGACTCCACTGTCCATACCATTTGGAGACCTAGTATAAATTAATACAGACAAGTATTCTAGTGAGCATGTTGTATCAAAGTTTACTTGAAAATTAAAATGGTCACGTCACCATATTTACCCAAATCCAAGACAACTTTGAATTTAAGATGACCCCCCATAATTAGATTCTATAATTGACGTATATATAGAATCTAATTATGGGGGGTCATCTTATACCGGTATAAGATGGGAAATATATTTTTCCATTCACTGGAGGGTCATCTTCAATTTATCCCCCTGATCAATGTGGGGGAAAGCAGCAACAGCAGGGTTGACTTCATAACCCTCCACCTCTCCCGGTGCCTGTCCCACTACCACTGCTTCCCCTATCATTCCCCCCTCCCCTACATGCCTGTCCCCTAACCACTTGCCCCCTCTCCACCACTCATCTTGCCTGGTTCCTGCCTCTTGCCACTTGCCTCTGCTACTTACCCTAGGTGGCAGCTCTGGCTCTGGCCCAGAGCACATGCCAGATCCAGTTCCAGGCAGGAAACACCAGTGGACAGCTTTGGCCCCAGCATAGGACAGGCACAGACGTGGCTCCAGCCCCACCCTTGGGCCTGGGTCAGGGCCGGAGCCACAGAAGCTTCCTTGCCACTATGTCGTCTTCCCTGTGCTCCCTCCCTGCACTGTGGGGTCTCCCCCTGCTGCACACCCATTCCCCTGCCACATGAGCCACCTTAAGCCACCCCAGTCCTGGCCAGGCAGCTTCATTATTTAATCAGAACCCACTCGTTAAATGCACAGATTACATTTATCACCAATCTTGAGAAGTCATGAACTTACAAAATTAATGACATTTGTCCATCATCCATAAACCTAGTGACCTGGTTTAGAATGAATTTCAGAAATTCTTTCTACACCAGCGATTCCTTTAAAAATACAAACAAGAAGGGAAAACGATGCTGCAAATATTAATTTTTTTTTAACCAGAGGACAATCAGTGGAAGATGAACCTGAAAACTAAGTAGCCACTCAATAAAGTAATCCTTTAAATATGCGTGTGATGGTCAGAACCAGAAGGGTTAATGAGCAATTTATAGTAAAAAGAAATCTGCTTTTTGAAGGTATTTGAAATAAAGTTTATGAGACTGTTTCCTGTAGGTGTTTTCAACTTGTCTGGAGTATAACCAAAACTATATATATATAGCTGTTTGCACTGATCATGGAATTAGCATGAGTTTTAAAAAGCAGAACTAAAGTGAAACTGCAAACCTAACTAATTTAATACATTTTTGCTTAGAGTCAGTAAAATTAACGAATTTAACCACAAGGTATAATTTAACATAGTGAGTTGAACTTGGGTGGGGACATGTTAATCTCAGACCCCAAAGTGATGTGGTGTGATTTGCTTATTGAGTAAACCCAAGCTTGGGCAGTAACTTATTACAATAATTTCTAACACCTTTTAACCCCATAGGATAACAGCTATAGAATAAGATTGTGAGTGGCTCTAAAGCCAACAGATTAGCATAGACAAAATATAAAAGAACAAGCACGTTAAGTAACCAGCACGTTAAGTAACCAGCAGGAAGGACGGAACAGAAAGGTCATTGCTGTCCCATGCCCCTGGATCTCTTACTCCCTGTGTAAGCAAGGACCAGATCCTGACTGAGGGACCTTCCTCTGGTTTTTCCTCCGACAGCGTGGATCAGGGACACCTGACTTCACTGAATCAACTTGACGTGTACCTGATTGAGGGACTATCGATAAGTTACTAACCAAGTGGGAACTCTTGGTTGATTTGTCTGTCTGTTTTTATTACCATTGCCAATTTTAACTTTTATTGTTATGTTGTTGGTTTAACTTAACCTTGTTACTAACTGTTATATGTGCAAACTATATCTTTTGTTATTATAAGTAAAATGTATTTTTACTGTCATAAGTAAAACTTGTTATTGTTTCCCTCCCAACATCACCTCCTCGATCCCAAACAAAACAGCTCAGTGGCTAATACAGTTGCAGTACTTAATCAGCCTGCAACTAAATTAATATATTCATAGTGCCCAGCTGGCCTGTGACATATGAGGGGGGAAAATAATAATGAAAGTTAACTAAGTAGCAGAATTAAACAACTTTCTTGGCCATCCTGGCTGCTTACATATGTGAAAAACAAAGCAAAACAAAACAGCGGTTTACTTTCAGCTTGGTACGTCCTTACACCAAGTACAGCACACGCCCAGAAGAGGCATAACGTTAGTTTGACCCAGCTCGCCCAATATCTGTATAGATCATGCACTTCAGTGAGGCTTTTTGGTGCTTTTATCTAATAGCTGATTGAAAAGCACCAAAAAGCCCTCCTAAAGCACTCGATCTATACAGACGCTGGGTAGCCACGTCCAACTAATGTGCTTCCTCTTCCAATAAAGAGCTGGGCGTTTTTTCCTTCCACATCTGTCAATGGCCCTTGTGGCAATATTATATACGTGGAGCAAATAAACATAAGAATCTTAAGTCAGTGTGTGATAACTGGTAGCCAATTAAAATAGATAAAAGAAAATTATGGAGAAGCATGTTGCTTCTGGATTGCTGCAACACTATTTTAAGCTTTCCAAAGCTTCTGACTGCTGTTGCTGTTCTCACAGGTATCCTTTACCAGGTGTCCTTCTTTACCTTCTTTCTTCCTGATACAACCATTTTGTCTCTTACAGTTTAGGAACAACACGTAAAAACATTTTCTTGTTCGTATGCAGGTTTCAGCATCTGTAAAGCTGATGCACTAGCTCAGTGCCCTTGGATAAGAAATATGGCTTATGGAAAGCACACTGCTGACCTGGGATTTGCCCTCCCTTAGACTACACAAATTTTGTACAGCCAATTCTCCACAACACGCAATATGTAGGTACTAATAAATTCCCCAAATCCCCACTATATACTGTACTGCTCTGTGCTCCAGAAGTCATAGGAACAGATCTTTTATGCCAGTGAGGTTCTCTAAAGTACTCCACTATACTAATCGCATGGATTAACCAACTGGCCAAAAACAGGGTGGGACACAGGATTTATCCTCTGTTGGCTAGAATACTTTTTTATCTTTGTCTTCATGTCCTTCAAAAATTAATTCAATAAACTTATAGGCCATACAGGCCAGGGCTTCTACAGAAATAGACACTGGAAGAGACCAGAAAAAGCACTGCAGCACTGCCCGGTCATTAAGCAGGAAATTCAAGTTGAAAGACAGACTTTTGTAAAAGGGAGTACTTAAAACAAACAAACAAACACACACACACACAAGGGGCGGGGAGACTTTGAAAAAGTACACTGAATTTAAACCTTGCTTCTGGTTATCCTGTAGTCAAACAAGAATGCTGAAATTATGAGATCCTAGAATTGTAATCACATACTATGATATCTTATTCAAATATAAATAATAATTAATGCTAAGATGATACTGCTAAGAAAAAGTGCCCAACAAGTATGTTTATAATGCATTTACTTTACTACAGGGAATATGCTACTAGCCAGTTTTATGCTAGAAAGGGGATTATTCCAAATAAGTAACCTTCCCCAATTACTTCTTTATATAAACGCCTTCTTTACGTAAAGCAGATGAGAATTCATAGTGAAAGAAGGGCACAGGGTTGTAGAATGAACTTAGCACAGATAAAATAATTCCGAACATACAGTGTAATTAATTATATTTAATTATAAAAATAAAAAACCCCACATGTTCAACCTCAAGGCTCAGTCATTCATACTGTACATGAAGATTATGAATGAATCTTTATACCCGTCTATCAGGTACTTTCCTAACCCAATAATTAACAGCTAGAATAAATTTGTCGTGTTCAGTTTAAATATCAAAACGCTTATCAAATACAACACCATTGGTTTCTCTGAGGATTCACAACCTTACCAAAAGAATCTCTAATAGGTATACTTTTTTACATGTGTACAATGTACATACCTCTCCCCACTCCAAATTTTTAGGTGGTAAAGGATAAAATGAAATTATATCATAGGCTATTTCTTCCATGAACCATTTAAAGCTTTTGCAGTTGTGATCTTCCCGGAACTTTTTAAGCTCAGAAATATCCCCATATGGTAGTGCTTGGGTCTCTGGACGACTGGCATAAAAGTAATCTTTGTACTCATCCCACCACACTTCCACGACTCTGATGTAGTTCTGTGAAAAAAACGATCATCACTACTGAAAAAAGTTAGTTCAATTAAGTTTTTAATCCCACCAATTTAGAAATTTGTCCTGTAAAGATATTAATGCATGCAATTATTAAAAAATACTCATAATCTGCCTTCCTTAAAAGCTGATACAGTAATAGAACATTTTTAAATGTATTTTAGAAGTAAAACTGCTGAAGTAAGCAGGCTTAACAAGGGATCTAAGACACTGTTAAGTCTAAGGGACTTCTTTTCTGTTAAGAGATATCAGAGTTTGCTTTCACCTTCCACACATCCTTCTCTTAAACTATTAATTCTCCAAGGGATTCTACAGATGCAACTGACTTAGATCTTGAACATTTCAATTAAGAGAGAGCTTTCGTCTTCTCTTTTATATCTGGATTGGCTTGTTAATACTAATAGAAAGTACTATTATAAAAATTCTTAAAAAAAAAAATCGGTAATAAAGGAAAAACATTATTGAAGAAAGTAAAATGGACTATAACCATCCCACAATGTTCCTTATTTCCCTTCATGGAGCATTACCTGCTACCTAATTATATTCATTTTCTTATATGGCACTCATTGTAGTGCCAAAGCATTTTCCATAAGCATATCTAAAGCGTGCTTTTTTTTAGCATGGTAAAATATTACTATTGTAGGAAAGTAGGGCTGGAAGGGACCTCTCATGAGATCATCGAGTCCAGCCCCCTGCTCAAGGCAGGGTCATCCCTGACTAAACCACTGAAGTCAAGCATCTGTCTAACTTGTTCTTGGAAATATCCAGGCATGGATATTCCACAACTTCTCTAGGTAGCCTATTCCAGTGCTTGATCACCCTCATATTCAGAAAATTCCTTCTAATCTCCAATTTAAATTTCCTATGCTGCAGCTTGAAGCCATTACTTCTACTATTGACTGCTACAGCCACAGAGAAATGGCTACCTTCTTCCTCTTTATAAAAAAAAAAATCACCCTTTGAGTATTTGAAGACTGTTATAAAATCCCACCACAGTCTTCTCTTCCCCAGATTAAATTATTTTAGTAATTTCAGACCTTCCTCATATGTCATGCTTCTCAGGCCTCTAATAATTTTTGTAGCTTTCTGCTGGACTGTCCACATCCAGATATAGTGCATCTGGACTTCAGCAAGGCTTTTGACAAGGTCCTGCATGACCTTCTCATAAACAAATTGGAGAAATGTTAAATAAAGCTACTACAAGGTGGATAGATAACTAGCTCAGTAGCTGCAAGCAAAGGGTAATTATTAACAGGTCCATGTCAGAATGGCAGGAGGTTTCAAGTGGAGTCCCACAGGGGTCTGTCTTAGGCCCCGTATGTTCAATGTGTTTATTAACGATTTGGATGCTGGCACAGAAAGCTTCTACAGCAAGTTTGCAGATGAGACAAAACTGGGGAGGACTGCAAACACGTTGGAGGATGCGAGCACAATTCAGAAGGATCTTGACAGGCTGGAAAGTTGGGCTAAAGCTAACAGGATGAAGTTCAATACAAACAAATGCAAGGTGCTACTCCGTGGGAGGAATAATCAAAAACACAAATATCAAATGAGTGATACCTGGCTGGATGGCAGCACTATGGAAAAGAACTTGGGAGACTTGGTAGACCACAGACGCAGTATGAGCCTGCAGTGTGATGTAGCTGCACAAAAGGTGAATGCAGTTTTGGAATCCATCCATAGAAGCGTTAGGTACAAGCCAGAGGAGGTAATAGTGCATCTCTACTTGGCACTGGTTAGGCCTCATTTGGAATAGTGTGTGCAGTTCTGGGCTTCACATTTTAAAAAGGACATGGAGAAGGTAGAGAGGGTCCAGAGGTGGGCAGTAAAAATGAAAAGGGCTTGGAAAGCAAGTCACATGAGGAGAGACTGAAGGAGGCAGGCATGTTCAGCTCGAATACAAAATTCTTAAAACTGCACAATAGCAGTTTTCAAATACTTGAAGGGCTGCCATAAAGAAGAGGGAAAACACCTTTTCTCTCTTGCTGCAGAAAGGAGGACACAAACCAATGTCTTGAAGTTGCAGCAAAAGAAGTTTAGATTGCCTAGGGAAGTTGTGGAATTCTCCATCACTGGAGGTGTTCAAGAAGAGGTTGGACAGCCACTGGTTAGGGATGACCTAGGTGTAGCTATGCCTATATTCTACTATGGGTATTTCCTATGCTTCTGGGCTTTGCTGGTTGGCCTCACTCCTCCCTTTCTGCTACATGTTGTTAGGGTAGCTTGTCACATTTTATGCTTTAAAGTTGCACCTTGCTTCCAGAATGGTGAATTACAGTATTGTTTAAAGTTTTCTTTTAAATTCAGCCTCATTTAATCACTGCCTTATTTAATCAAGACCAAATTAAGAGGTGTGCTTGTGATGGGTCTGTTGAACAAAGAAATATGCTGACAGGATAAAATACGGACAGGATGCTGACTGGAGAGAGAGCAATCCAAAAGCAAGAGTCATCAAAGGAGTGAAGTTAAAGAAAAGCATAAAAGGGGGAAGCAAGAACGTTAAGTGTGTCGTCGTTGTCATCATAAATCCAGCCTTCAACACCTGACTGGGCCATCCCAGCTAACGACGCATTCTTTGCTTCGGGAACTGTGTGGCCTGCCTCTTCTGTTGAGCAAAGTAACATCTGGGATTGGGTGAGATCATTGTACAAAGTGTTTTTTTCTCTCTGAATATAGAAACTGCTAAGATAATACTTGTTGTACTAATAAAGTTAGACTTTGATTTTAGGACACTGAGTTCTCTGTGTTTGTATTTCATGTTCCATTTAAGAGTTAACTGTGCTCTAACAATCCCCAAGTACTATCTAGTGGACAGTGGTGCTAACAATCTGTCAGGGTGACTTTAAGCCTCCCTCAAAGGCATTTGTTGTTGGCTACAGCCAAGGCTGGGAACTTTGACTGGGGTCCTGCTGGGACCAAAGCCAGAGGTTCTTGGTTAGAGAGTCTTGTCCCACTGCTCAGGGTCAGGCCGACTGCCATATTTGGGGTCAGGACTGTGAGAGTTTTTGCCTTCCTCTGTAGTGAGAGGCATGTCCCTCTACCCAGCATCTCTTGAGCATATCTCAATAACAGTTCATAGAAGCAGGACACTGGATGCCATGGTTCCCCTGCTTTATCTGTGGCAGGTGTATTGTCAGGGTTGATGGTAGTCCTATGCAGAGTTTAGATTATGGATTTGTACAGAATGGTTTGGATAGGGATGTTCCTGCCTCAGGCAGGGTATTGGACTAGATGAGCTCTGGAGGTCCCTTCCAGCCCTACTCCTCTATGACTCTAAGACATGCTACAATACTTTCACCTAGGCTGTATTTCCTTAGCTTATTAATGAGAATGTCATAGGAGACTGTGCTAAAATCCTTGTTGAAGTCAGGCCAGACTAAACAATTAGTATGTAGTTAAAGTATCTTGTCTAACAGTACACAGGTCTGACTATTCACGAGTCATTCTGCAATTTAGCTTAATCAGCTTCTGAAATGGACTAAACCAAATATACAAAGCCCCCCAGTGTGAATAACAATGTGCTATCTGGAGGTTGAGGGGATCACAAAATAGCTATTCTTAGTTATTTTCCTAGGTAGACAATGACTTAGTGTTAAAAATGATATTACAACAAAAATAAGTGGATATGTTATTAACAGTTTTTTTATAAGCAGCAAATATTTTTAAATCACATTTTTCATGTTCAGGTAGTCAGAGGAAACAAATTACTGACTTTTCCTAACAAAAAAGTGATGGTTCTTTAAATAACTGTGTATTGTGCTATAGAAGAGTTGTATATTTAGAATTTACAAGCTGTGTTTGTAAGTTTAAGATGAAACCATTTTCTGGCTTTAAGTTGGTCTTACCTTTAACGTAGGAGAAGATCCAACATAGACTGGTGGTGGATTTCCTTGCCAACCCTGGAGACGATAGATGTGTCCAACACGAGAACAAGGAACAAACAACAACTTCCCTCCACATTGCCAGATCTGCAAGTTCAAACACAGAATGATGTATAATAAGTACAAGTACAATTCCAATAGCATGTAAAACAAATTCTTATTACACTGATTGTATAACAGAGAGCCTTGCAACAAGTCATTCTTGACTTTAGGAAGAATGAAGACTTGAAATAAAAGGCTGGGGTTCTATCCAGTACATTCTTCAGCAACTCTATGAAGTATCTTATAAAGTATTTTATAAAGCGGCACCTCAGAATCATGTTTTCAGGATCACATTCCACTATTCTTTGAAAAGGCAGTTATAAATGAGTATATAAAAACAGGTCAGGTTTTATTTTCTTAAATATCAGTTCACATTTAATTTTCACAGATATTATTCTTTCTTTGATGCCCATCCCAATTTTTTTCTACAGAAAATTATGTGGGAGACACAAAATCATTTAATTATCACAGACCTCCTATACTCAGGATTATTATTATTATTATTATGCCAAATAAAAAGTAGGAATGGCTGATGGAACTCACAAAGATAACTGCTCCTAATTGGGTATGAACCAAAGTAGTAATTTAAGCTACATATTGGCTTTCTTTTAATGGGGCTTTGTTGTCATCTTCAAAAGATCAAATCAGCAGGTAATGGAAATGCATTTAGACACCAATAATATTTTAACACTAAAATGAAAATGGTAGAGAATACTGAACTGATACAGTTTGAAACAATAACAAAACAACCTCACAGAGATCACTCTGGATCACCCATTAATTTAAGAAAAAGGACAATTTAAAGACAGTCCAAATAATGCTGCATTTAAATCTTTTATAACTGAAGATAGGTATGAACTAAACCCATGAAAACTGGGCCATTCTCAATCAGGTCAAATTCCATATGGCCATCAGCCAAGCTTGAAGAACTGAGACCACTGACAGTGTTATGAACTTCGTAATTTACTTTCTTCTTCTTAACTTTATTATTCAATTACAAGTTAAAGGCTCCCTGTCAAAACTGTTGGATTATAAAATAAATTTGGCACTTTTACTTCTATTAATCAGGACACTGTTCTCTGGTCTGTCTGCCATTTGAATTCCTGTGAATGCCCTGAATATGTTGTTGATGAGTTACTCAGCTAGGATTTTCTCCACATACCACCTTTCTTTTTGAAAGCAAATATTTATTTAAAGAATTTTCTATGATGGTGAAGAACTCCAGGATTATTTTTCCTTTCCCAGGAGGACTGGAAAAAAGGAAGAACAAAGGCAGGTTTAAGTTTCTGCAGTAGCTTGTATTTAAAGTAATCTGTATTTATGACAATGGAGATTCTATAAATATTTATAATTTTTAGAAGTTCTCATTTGAAGGCAGATCAATTCGGCTGTTACCTTGTAAGAGATTTCAAAGTTTTCACCGCCCCATATTTGAAGACCTGGATCATAGAGACCCAGTTCAAAGAAGAAATCACGTTCAATGGCAAACAATCCGCCAGCCATTGCAGGAGACCTAAGAGAAAGAGCCACAAAAATAATTCCTTTAGCCAACAGAACATGACAGACTTTTGGAAAAAAAATAAATTTAATGTAAGGTTCAATTTGCTGTTAATACATGATAAAGATTAGATGAATGGCAGTACATGTAGGTATTATAAAGCTTTGTTTCAAGCTTGCTGTGATTCTTTCAATTTGTGTAATTTTTTAAAAGAAATAATTGATTTCATTGCTATTGTAAATTTCACAGAATACTGGCCAGTATTATTCTGTTAACCAAATTAAATCTACAGTTATACTCTATTAATTACATCAAAAGAACCATTGCACCATTTCTTGATGCAGTTTAAAGTATGTCCAGTAGGAGAATAGACCCTATTAGGAAACAATTTGTGTTCTGAGAAGCTGCCACCTTGAAACCTCACTACACAACAAGAGATCTATTACAGAGCTCTATTGAAAAAAAAATCAATATAACAACCATGGAAGAAAAATCACGCAGAAAATTTAATTTATAATTATGGAGGTTGGAGAAGCAAGTTATATGGAATTTTGACAATGTCAAGTTGTACAGGTTTCAAATTAAATGTTACTGTTTAAAAATTGGTTTTGCCAAAAGTAGCTCTACAAAACAAGATTTGTACATCATTAAGAACTGTTACATGAAAAGATGTTGTCCATTTCAGTTGAATATTCTACCACTGTGATTGCTATCAAAGTTCTTTGGCAACTTGCTAGTAGTACCTGAGAATGTGAATCTAGTTTGCCTATTTAATTGAACATCTTCTGCCCCAGGCCTAAAAAGCCAAGAAGAAAAGATAATGAGTTAAGCTTCACACACCTCTGCAAAGCAAGCAGTTTATCTTTAAAAGATAAATGGAAACAGCCACAGAATTTTTCCTGGTTACCAAAGTAATCTGTGGCACAGCTATGAAATGAAACCAAGTTTTTAAGACCTGAAATAAACAATGCTTTCTGGTGGCAGGTTGGAATGACCTAGCTTGGGTCCAAGGCAGGCATGTGCTAGGAGATGGCAGCCACGCTGCAATTCTTTCTGCCATCTGGTTGTGATGTGGCATGGGTGAGGCTTCCAGCTGCCCAGCCACAGACAAAGTACCCCAACTGCAGGCCAGATTTGTCTCACAGGCTGTTGGTAGTTAACTTCTGCTCCAGACTATCCTTTTAAGATTTCTGGATTTTTAGTTGATATGGTATATCATTTTAATATTAGTGGCAGCATATTCCCCTTCTGCACAGAAACTAAGACTGAGCAAGTTCATAAAACTTGAAGAATTAGAATTAGCTCATGCTTTCTCAGTCAACTACAAGGATGGCTGGTTACAAATGTTATGGATCTATTACTCCCAACCAGTGCAAATCCTTGTTCAGATGTATGTGGAGTTCTTTTTACGTTTCCATGTACTACACCACTTACTATAGTGCAGGGCTCGGCAATCTTTTTGGGCAGAGTGCCAAAAGCACCTGCAACCTCGACTTGGAAGATGTTGCCATGACAGGGGTAGATGGCAGGAGAGCTGAGAGGGGCATGATCCTTGTTGTGGCTTTGCAGCCCCAGCCACTTTCCCACTGTCTGCCTCAAGGCATGCGTGCCAAGCAAAATGCCTTCATGTGCCACACTCTGGCATGCATGCCTGGGGTTGCGTACCCCTGCTAGAGTGCCTTTCTAAATTGCTGCCATGTCACATGGATCCTTCAGGTATCAGAGAGCTGATAAATGTAATAGATAGGACACCTTACATTTTACTATACTCTTGTTTTTCTGCTCAGGGAAAACATAACTAGTTTATCTTCCTACATTATTTTACCAAAATGTATACTTTACTTGATTCATATTGCCACAGTAAAATGCATCTACTTTGGATATATATTAGGATAAGGATGTTTTCAAGAAGTGATGTATTTTTGTTTCAATTAATATTTTTAATTATTATCTCCTGAGCTTTTCTGAAAATAGTTCAAATAGCTATTTTTGTTGTGTATACAAATGTGATGTCAACCTTTACCAGCATTAAACTAATGTTAACTTTTCAATGTGGACAGCATTCTTCTCTTACATACTATGAAGTACTGAAGAGACCAAAGCTTCATAATATTCTTGCATGTTTTGCCATTTTCACAAGTCATGGGGTGAGTGCCAAGTAAAGCATTAATTAGTTCTCACAACTTGTTTGAACCGCGTATAAAACTGAGATAAAGCACAACTTTCTAGAGCTGCAAAGATTATATTCAGATGCATGTAATCTTGGTTACAGGGTTAGAGTAGTGTAAAGGAAAAGCAGAGCAGAACCACAGCCTCTTAAGTAGTCTTGAAAGAAGTTCAGAAACCCACATTTTAAGCAAACATTAAAATGTATTTTTTGGTTGGAACAATATATCCCTCACGTACTAAAGGAAATAGGTTTGACTATATTAAAATCACTAGGCTCCTCCCACAAAAGAGAATGGAATTCTGTTTAGTTGATACTTTGCAGAGGGCTAAAGAATTATCTTAAGATTTTAAACCAATGAGTGTCTTTTTAAAAGGTCAGATGTGACCTTTAATTTATTGGTTTTTGATACATGCACATAAAAGCTATATGCACACTTTCAAGAGACATAGTAGACTACAGATTTTATGAGCTAAGCACTATTTTTGAACACTCATGGCATGCTTATTATGGATCAAATCAGTAAACAGTTATTATTGTTCCCTGCATTACCAGTCAATTTTAGTAGTTCACAAATTTTGGTAAGTTGATAAACTTGGAAACTGAAACATACAAATCATTTACTTTTCCAAATAAAAATCATTAATCTAAAATACATCCTGTATTTTGCTTGCAGTGTTAATTAGATAAAAACAGAGGTGGAGAGGTACAAGAAAGCAACAGAGATACAACAGAAAGATGCTCTTTTTTTTTTTCTTTTTGACACAGCATCTACAGTTGTTAGGAGCATTAAAAAAAAACCAAGCTAGAAGTACCCGCGACTCTTTAGTAAATCAGTATCTACTTAAGAAAGGAAAAATGTGTAAGTGATTTAGTGATTACCGATACGGTTCAGTTTTGGTCTTTCTCATTTCCTTTTCTCGCTTGGCCAAAGGCACCCTCTTCCATAGCATACTCCAATCCCATGCTCCTCTAGCAAACCCATCTTCGTCACCACCCCCTTGGGGTACAATCTCATAAGTGTTGCCCTCTATGACATCTATCAGCGGCACAGTGCATGTGGTTCTGCAGGATTGTGGATGGCAGCAGGGAGGATGAGGTTAAGTAGGTACATGGACCCATATGGTACATTTATGTGAATCAGAGTACATGGGAAAAGAAGGGGGAAAAATGACAGGGTTTAGATATTCGTTCATTACAATTCACAGAATGAAAAACAGCACTCTTTACCGATAAGGCTCAGTTTTATGTTTTCTTTTGGCTTTTTCCTTGTGGCTTAACGGAATACGTTTCCACAGCAAACTCCAGTCCCAGGCCCCTCTGGCAAAGCCATCTTCATCCCCACCTTGCTGTGGCTCAATGGAATAATCATTCCCATCTATATAATCTATTAGGGGCACAGTACATGTAGTTCTGAAACATTTACAGAAGGGGAAGAAAGAGCAGAATACAATTTAACAAAGTTAATCTGTCTAATCTAATAGATCCACCATTAACTTTTTACTATTTCTGTAATGGAACTGAAAAATCAAGTGCAAAGATCAGGAACATACTTTCCAATACATGTGTTATTGTAAGAGTGTCAACCGCATACTGGAAATATTTATTTCCTGACAAGAGGCTCTTAATAAAATATCTCCTATGGCCATAAAGAAAAACATGGAAGATTTGGTAAATATTTAGTATTTTCCATAATTCCTATCTATATTGAAAAACAAGAAATTTCACTACAGTGAAACAATAAGAAAAATAAAAGTCTTGCTCTTATTTTTGCAACTATAGACTTTAACTAGCCAAGACTGCTATATATAATTTCCTTATAAACGCAGTCTTTTGGAAAAAATATTGCTTTGTTAAACCACGAAAGTTTTTCAGTACTGGTTTTTAAACATACTGGCCAAACTCATTCTTAAGATCACAGGAGGTTTAATGATCTGAAAAGTTCCATTAAATCAAAGGTTAGTACTCACATACACACTCTCTCTCTCTTCTTTCCCCCTTTCTCCCTGCCACTCCCAGACTTGTACCCCCAGTTTAAATACCATCTCTTTGCTCAGCTTTAATAACAGTCTTGTTTATGTAGGTTCCTCCTTTGCCCTAAGTAAGAAAATTAGGATATTTCTAATAGGGTTTGTAAGAAAGAATCATGGAAAAACTAGTTGGCTGCCTTGTATTCCCCTTTCTTCAATTCCCCAATTAAAATAAGCTATATATTATTTACATGACTATTTTACTTGTTACAAGACAAGATCTTCTACTCTGAGTGATTACACAATAACTGTAATATTAACAATACCCTGGATATGGCTGAAACATGTAGATTGTTACTGTGGCTATTTTTCTTCCTAGAGTAGAATTCCCAGATATAGAAACTAACAGGAAAGCATTACCTGTCCTTAGATATAGGAGCTACAAGTGGTGCATACCAATTAACTCCCACCTCACAATGGGCATCAAGGTAAATCAAAACCTTTAAAAACAAAACAAAAGAGGGAAAGATATAATCTTTGGAGATTTTTCTATACCAATGACACTGATTCAATAAAGCTTATCATTTTAAATTTCTGATACACATATGCATTTAAAAATTTACACAATAAAGTCTTAAGAATTTAAGCTTAACTTACTTGAATAATATTCACAATACAATACCAACAGTTTTATGCATCTGTTTAAATTAAAAGATTTTTTAAATTTTATCAAACATTTTCTACCTGTCCAAGTTTAGCCTTCTGGGCTCCAATGCTTCTAGCTTGAATTAAACCTTCTCTCCTCTCATTTCGAAATACCTTTACAAGGCCATTCCACTGCTTAATATACTCCTCTAGTCTTTCTTTTAAGTGTGCTATCAAATAATAAAAAAAAAAAGTTTTCCACGTTATAATTATAACCTTTGCACTTACAGAACTAAGTGAACATAACTGACCAGAGCTAACAAGTCTAGAAGGTTAAAACGCAAAATCATCTCAGATAAATATTCTGCAAACTATTGATCACAACTTGCTACTTAAGTGGGATGATACCTAGACTTGAAATTCTTTGATTTTACAGTAGGAGCTCCATGAGATTGTAACTGCACTCTATCAATTTGACCGTAAGACGAGGACTGACAAATTCATATTTTTCCATTAATACATGGGATGTCAAGTTTCAGGTTTTACTCACATCCAATAAATTTGAGTAAAATACAAAATCAAATACAGGAAGTAAAGTGTTTGTTATAACCAACTTGTACCATGTCATATTTGACAGGAAGTGATGGAAGAATCCATGACTTCACTTGACACAATAGCCGAAGGAAGAAACATGCAATAAATTCTTCTGAGCAAGCAGTCCATGACTATTCACTAACTCACCTCATGATTTTAACTTGATATAAATTAATTGTGCTAATGTGTACAAAATCTTTGTTAAATTTTGTGTTTGGCTGCTGGGAACTTGAGCAAAAACTCCAAAAGGCCCAGATTTCTGCCCACCTTCCCCAGCTACACACAAGACCGTACTAGCCAAGTCCATCTCTGATTGAGTATTTTTTTTTAAGTAGAAACTGTATTTAATTAAAGGAAAATGACTAAGGGGAATAGATTGTGGTCCAACATCTGATGATCAAATCAAAAGGACAAGCACAAAGTGAAAAGGATGGAAAACTACTGATGACAGCTAGAAGCATCACGAAGCAAAAATGAAGGTTTAAGAAAGGGTAGAAGACAGGTTGTATAGCAAGGCATTTTCTAGCCCCCTCGACAGCTGTCTTCCTAAGGCTGACCCACTGAACCTGACATTTAATAGTAATTGAATAAAAATGGGTGGAGACCAATAGAGAAGTTTCTGCCCAGTGGGAGTTGAGCACACAGGCTAGAACCCAGGGAGACCTCCCAGTCAGAACAGCATCCATCTTATTGAGTCACACTGTTTCTGGTCCCACCTTTGGCTGTCCAGGGGAGGGGATGATGCCTCAAGGGGAGTGGATAATGCCTAACCTGGGACCTTGTGGAGGAGATACAGGCCTAGAACCTGGACCTTCCACTGCCTCTAACACCAACTAGCTGTGGATTTTTGCCTGACTACAGCTGGGACATATGCACGAGATTCTATGATTGAATCATAGAAACCTGGGCAAGCATTTGGCAGCACAATCCTACCCAGCCAAAGCCTAGCCCTGCTGAGTGTACTTAGTTGAGTAACTGAGCAGACATTTGCACAACTAAATTGTGCCCAGAATAGAACTGCAAAATATACACGCCAAAACTGGCACTTATGCACCTAAGTTAATTAAGCTGTTCAAATTTGTTTACAGATAACACCTTAACTTTAGTCTCAAGGATTCCTACATTTTACTTCATCTTCAATTAAAAAAAACCACCTATCAACAGAGATTGCAATTTAAATAACAAGAGGGTACTTGCCTGAATAATTAAAATGAAAAAGCAAAACACAACCACATTTGTTTCAGTGATCATATACCAAGAAGAGAATTTTTTTTAACCCTCTCTCTTTGTAATACTCATCCAGACAAAACTTCCATAAAAGATTTCTAGAAATTTCATAGTAAAAATAGGTAGGCACAACATTTGACATGCCCTTGTCTTCCTCTCTTTGCAAATCTATTTTAAATATTTGTGTTACAAATATTTCACAGGGGCATAAGCTGAGCTAGAAAAAGAAAATTTAATCTGTAAGACACACAGCATACGTAGTAAGTGTGATCAGAAAGTTAGAGAATGCATAAACTACAAGTTACTCGGTCATCCTAAACAAGTGCCAGTAAAATCTTTATATCAGACCATTATGTATTCTATTTATGACATACTATATGCTACAGAAAAACTGTCAGGAATGCTTTAGAGACTTAAAATACTGAAGTAATTTTCAAATCTTTCTGCCTGTGAACAGCATGCTTTAGTTATCTCTGTGCAAGGGTCAAAGAGAGCCATAAAATCCTTTAACACAAATTGTGGAAAGCTTTCCTGAAGTATCAAGACTTTAAAGTTAATTAACTTAGACTCTTCCAGGTCTAGGAACAAGTTCCAGTTCCCAATGAAAAGTCATGAATTTCCCCTTTCCTAATATTACAGGGTTCCAAGGTCTAGCTTTGTAAAATCACAAGACAGTAGACTCTACAGGCTTTACATCTAGAAAGGAAGTCACTGGCCTAGCGATAGATAGAAATAAATCAAATACATTTATTTGATGTCTTTAAAACTTAAATAGGTGGCGAAGAAGGGGAAAAAAGGAAAAAAGCCTTTTAGAAATAAATCAGGAAATATTCAGTCCAATTTCCCCAGATTTTGTTGCACTGTCAAAACTTAATGCAGAGGCTGAACATAATATTTAACAAAGATTCCAATATTCATCCAAATGTATTGGTAAAAAGCAAAGTTGTAAAAAACCTAAGTAAATCTTTTCCCCTCTCATCTGTTCAGATTTTGCCTGATTGATTTGCTTCCCATCTGTATTTTTCTAGTTGTGGAGACACAAACTAATATCGCATGAGGACTATTGAAATACCAACACTGAAATTCCGTGGCTGGTATAAATCAGTGGCTACAAATGGAGCTGTAACAATTTAGCCCAGCTGAAAATCTGGCCCTTTTTCATCAGGAAGGATATTATGCCTTGGATCAGCAAGGAACATTAGCTGAAGCGTAACTCTAAACATTCATCCCACTGACTTCAGTGGAACTATTCTCAGGATTAAAGTTAGGTAAGTACTTAAGTACTTGAGCCATGGTTTAAATGCAAAAAAGGTGATAATGGAGCACTGAGCCTTGCAGGAAAACTAGAGAAGGTTTAGGAAATATCTGAAGTTAAGGGTCCTGTAATAATATTTAAAATTAACCATTTCCTTTGTTATCAGACACATTTACAACAAAAGAAGATAAAAATTAATCTACACTAATAACAAAGGAAGAAAATGTTGGCATTTATGCACTCCTCATTAGATTTTAACATCTAGTTAATCTAAGAATTTCCATTTATAATATTAGAGCTGTGGGAGCTTTATTAACTTGACAATGACTTGAAGTAATCACTGTTTTTCTCTACTTTTGGCAAAGCAAATTAGCAAAAATAAATAAATAAGTAAATAAAACACAAAAGAAAGAGAATCCCAACAATCTGGAAATTCTTTATAATGAAAAAATATCATACCCAGAAGAGACAGAAAGAATACAGAAGAGAGAATAAGAAGAGAGTTGTTCAGCAAGAAAACTACTACCGACAGATTATAAAACAAATCGTTTTGAAAACATTAAAGATGAACGAAGAGTAAACTGTTTCTTCTCCAGAACTAGAAAGGAATAATTCCCATAAATACAAGCCACACATTAATGGGTACCCTTTACAATCTTCTTAATTTTGAATATGTGTGTTCAGAAGTACTGCCAACAGAAACATATTATCTTAACCTTTTTCTGGGGGTGGTAGGAAAATGATGTAAAAACTGCTCACAAATTCTCTCCTGTACAGCATAAGAGCTTCATTCCCCATTACTAAACTGCCAGTACAACTTATTCAGCGCACAGAGCTCCTGAATAAGGGCTCATGTTTCTCAAACAACTTTGTCTGGTAGTTACATTTAACAAGTTGTACAGGAAGTTGTGTCCAGACAGTCTCTGATGGCTGGAATGGCAGTTATAATCCATGTTTGAAACAGGTGGAGAAAGGAGAAAATTCTGAAACTAACATCTCTAACTATTGCCTGAGTACTACTTTGTGTTGGCTAAAAAAGCATAAATATACCATTGCAATTATTTGCCTAATTTAGATTTCATAACAACTCCTTCAGCAACTACAGGTCTGATCCATATCTCAGCAGCATATTTGTCTTTATTGTTTTCATATAGCTCAGCACACCCATAACCTCATTCTCTTATTACATCCCTTGGTTGCAATAGAAAGAAAAAACATGAAACAAAATCCAAGAGTGATTTGGATTGCAAAATAAAGTCAATTGGTTATTCCCCTAAGCTGCTTAATGAGTGTGCACCCTAGAATAGATGTTGCTTTATAGTATTATATTTGAGTACTGGCACAGTTAGGGGGTCATAACATTTCATTCTGAGCTTAGTATCTGATGAAATCGGAATAACTTCTCAAAATTTTGTAGCAGCCCAATTAAAAAAAACAACAGCATAAATATATTATGAACATTACATTATAACCATAACTGCATTGTTAAATTATGAATTAGTTATTAGTTGATTAGATCCTTATAATTATATTACACTCATCCCATAGCCACCACCATTGTGGCCAGGCAGATCTGCACTGTGCCAGATTGGGAAGTGGCTTTGGCAGAAGTGTGTTTTCTTGCTGTAGCCCTTCCCAGTCTAACCCTGCACAGTGTCTTCTGAAAAGAGGTACTGTTACGTCTCAGCTCTGTATTCTTGGGCAACCCTGGTACAGGATACAGTCTGTCTGACTCACAAAGGACTCACCCCCCCCCTCCCCTCCTCTACCTAAACGAAACTGATTAAGATGCAGTGAGAGACGCACCTAAGACCCTCACCAGATAAGGGTGACAAGAGTGAATCAACTGCCCTAGGTCTCATTTACATGAGAGATGGAAAACAGAAAGCCTGAAGCAGAGACTGCAGTGAATTCTGGGACCAGAGAAGCAGGAGAGTGCTGCATGATGGGGAATCTGTGCTTCCAATGTTAATCAACCCATGTTCACACACACCCAGCTCAGCATTTATCAGACCAGCTCTAATCTGGATTTGCTAAGGACTTCCCCCCCCCAGACACACACACACAGCTCTAAGTTTAATAGGCATCTCGGGCCGTACATTCCCCGGTCCCACTATGGGAGGCCTATTTAAACTTGATTGACTAAAACTCGGTTGCCGGGTTAGGGAATGCTGAGGCAAGAGACCGAGTCAGAGGGGGTATGGGCAACATTTGAACAATGGTTAAGGGTTCATCACAGCATCCAGCCTGCTGGAGCCCTAATCCCAGGTGTTGTCATATCTTTCCCGAGACGACTGGTGGGAGTCCTCTCCACAAAAGGTTATGAGCACCCCAATAATTGTCTTAAGTCTGTTAAAAGACTATAGTAAGATCTGGAAAAGTCATGCTAAGCTGAGGCTTGTGCACAACAAGTAAAAATCCAAAATCCTGATGCTGCAAGCTATCTATTGTTCCTGAAGAAACCATGAGATATCCCATCAGTATATCTGCCACCCATAGGAATTTCAAGCTGGCTCCCAAGTATTTGGGTTACTCCCTAATCTTAAGTGTTTCCTGATTATCAATCAGTTTCCTGAGATGGTCCAAACCAGATAACCCCTTGTCAATAGAAAAGACAATGATTTACACTACTGAGGGTGCTTCGAAGCAGCTAAACTGAGGGTATAAAAATCTGTAAGTGTGTGTGCTGCTAGAGGAAAAGGAAGAAAAAGAAGTAGAAGCAGGAGGAAAGAAGGAGAAGAAGAAAACCCCTGTGCTGACACCATCCCCTGTCGTTCTTGGGACGCTGGAAGAACAGATCATCTCTCCCTTCAAGGACTGTGCTACAGACTGTGCCTGTCAGCTTTGCAGCCTGAGTACCGTGGACTAGGTGAGATCCCAGCGTTCTCTGTCTTCTTTCTAGGCATAAACTTCTGAACCTGAACTGTATCAGTTAAGCTTGAGCTAAGTTTCCCCAAATACTTAGTGAAACCAGGGTAGTATTGTCATTGTTGGTGTTTGTTTTTCTTTTGCATGTCTATTACTACTAGTACTATTATATATTTCATATGCTTAGCAATAAATAACTTTTATAGTCAAACTGGTAGTAATTGGGTATATTTTTCCTTCTCTGCTTCTCTTTCCTCCCGTGCTCTGCAGCAACGCTTCTTTTACCTATGCTAAAGATCCCTGTGAAGCCCAAATTATTGTGGGGTCTGCTCATCAAGAGGCCAAAGATTGGGACGTGCTGAGTTTGAAACACATAAGGGGATCAGCTTGTACAGGCTGATTGACCCAGTTTGACTCAGACGTGCCCTTATGAACTGAATGCTGGCCCATGAGGGCGTCAGCTGGACACCCAGCCGGATTCAGAGGGATTCTGTTTACCTGTGTGCTTGTGTCTGACTGCATTTTATTGTTGCTCTTATGAACTGATTCTTGGCATATGAGGGTGTCAGCCTGTCCATGTTGATCAGCCCGGCCAGGTCAGGCGTGTCACGTTAATTTGTGTGTGTTTGTGTGTATGACTGATTTGGTGACTGGAGGAACCCAGTCCCATTGAGATTGAGTCCTGCAAGATAGCTCCACTGGGGGTGAGGTCTTGCAGAAGGGAGAAATACAGCTCCGTATAGTAACACAAGCAGCACATTGACAGAATCACCAAGACCCTAGAAACTATCCCTAATAAATGAGCACACCCCAAAGTAATGGGCAGATTTGGTAACAGTACATGGGGCAGATGGAACTGCCCCATGTGCCTCTCTTCAGGAAGCCTATTTATTTCCAAGCTGCTGCTGCCACAGGTTGAAACTGCCCCATATGCCTTGATTTTATGGAGACACATGGAGCTCAACTGAGAAGCTGCAGCAGAGGCAGCACATCTGACGGCATCACGTTATACAAGCAGGTACGCTGCTTCTGCTTTAGCTCTTCTGGGTTCAGCTCATGCCAAGAAGGGAGAAGCAGCTAAAGCAGGAGCTTTACAAACTTACCTAGCCCATTGCCATATATAAGTTTGAGGAGCAGCTCAAACTTACCTAGCCCATTGCCATATATACCAACTCAATGGATGAACAAGATGGGAATGGTCAGTCAGGCTCTGAAGATACTAGCTCTGAATAAGAACCACCATACTAATCAAAACCAATGGTAACATTCTCTCTCTCAATGTCCAGTACAAGGTACATCAGAAAAGTGTAAAAAGCCAGTGCCTCATTTACAAACTAAACTTTCCTATAATTGTAAATATTCTCATCCACACAAAACATCCATTTTGGTTTTTTTACTACTACTAAGCACTGTGCCAAAATACAATTTTGTGATAGTCAGTTCCACAGGCTCATTATGCGTTACATAAAATATGCATTTTCTCTATTCAGTTTTAAAATTCAAACCAACCTTTTCTTATATATCATTCCTCCAATTCTTCTCTCAAATCAGCCCTACTTTGTACTAGACATTAACATTTCAATACTAGGAAAGTCTGTGCATGTATATATCAATATATATAACACATGTTATACATTTAAATAATACACTGTGTACAGTACAGTTATTCCCTTCTTGCTTGCCGCAACTGAAAAGGAAGATGGGTATACGAGCATCTGAAAGCTCACTGATATGCCCCCATAGAATCATAAAAAATAGGGTTGGATGGGACTTCAGGGGGTGATTTAAGTCCAACTCCCTGCTTAAAGCAGGACCATCCCCAACTACATCATCCCAGCCAAGGCTTTGTCTAAGTTGGGTCTTAAAAACCTCAGAGGATGGGAGACTCCATAACCTCTCTGAGTAACCTGCTTCAGTGTTTTAATACCCTTCTACTGAGAAAGTTCTTCCTAATATACAACATAAACTTCCCTTGCTGCAATGTGAGACCATTGCTTCTTGTTCTGTCATCTGCCACCACTGAGAACAGTCTAGCTCCATCCTCCTTTGAGCCCTGCTTCAAGTTGCTATTAAATCCCCCCTCAGTCTTCTCTTTTCTAGACTAAATACGTCCAGTTCTCTCAACCTCTCCTCAGAAGTCATGTGCCCCCAGCCCCCTCACCATTTTCACTGCCCTCCACTGGACTCTCTCAAATTTTTCCACATCCTTTCTCTAGTGGGGGGTCCAAAATTGAACACAGTACTCCAGTTGTGGCCTCACCAGTGCTGAACAGAGGGGAATAATCACTTTCCTTGACTTGCTGGCAAGACTCCTACCAATGCATCCCAGTATGCCATTTGCCTTCTTGGCAACAAGGGCACACTGTTGGTTCATATTCAAGCTTACTGTCCACCGTAACCCCCAGGTCTTTTTGTGCAGAGCTGATGCCCAGCCAGTCAGCTCCCGACCTCCCTGGTGCATGGGGTTGTTCCATCCTCAGTGCAGGACTTTACACTTGACTTGTTGAACCTCATGAGATTTCTTTTGGCCCAGTCCTCCAATTTGTCGAGGTCACTAAGAATCCTAGGCCTACCCTCCAGCACATCTACTACCCCCCACCTCGGCCCAGCTTGGTGTCATCTGCAGTCTTGCTAAGGGTGCACTCTATGCCATCTTCCAGGTTGCTGATGAAGATATTGAACAAAACTGGCCTCAGGACCAACCCCCGGGGCACTCCACTTAATAATGGCTGCCAACTAGACATCAAGCCATTGATTACTACTACACTCTGAGCCCAATGCTCCAGCCATGAGGTCATTTTATGTAAAGTGTGTATAAGAACTTGTTTTTCTTTCAAAGACCTATAAGAAATGACACATTCAAAATGTCCTTATAAAATTTGTAAACACAAAAAATATTTTACCAGCTATGTTCATTTTCACTAATCTTAGTCAAGTTTAAAATACAGCAAAATTTAAGCCAAAATTATCCAATATAGATAGCATAAAAGAGCCTTCTCTTCAAAATTAGTATTATCTTTTTCACAATACTATTCTAAAAACTATCTAGGATGATAGCTATTAGGGCATGCTAATTAACCAGTGTCCACAATATCCTACTTAATAATTCTATGGGGAGAAGAAACCTGATGTAAAATATATACTTAGAACATAGATACATGCATTTAGACCCAGCTTTTTTCCTTATTAAAGCAATTCATTGAAACTTAGTTTGCATCTTAATGATAGCTGAAAATGACTACATAATGACATGATATTTTTCTTGGATAATCGAATACAATTCACAGAAAAGGACAGTAAAACCAATAAATGCTTTAAAAATTTTTTTTTTTTTTTATAGATAGCATTACCTTTGTTACTGAAATCATCAATCAGTACAATTTCTGCCAAATACTTCCTTGGTGTTCTTTTAATTACACTGTGTACTGTTCTCATGAGTGTGGACCATCCTTCATTATGGAAGACAATGATAACACTGGATGTGAGTAGGTTCTCACCATAATGCCAATATTTGCATCTGTAAAATAATTTATCCTGTTACACTTAGATTCTTTGTTAATATTACTCAATAATGTGTCTGTACAAATGAAATCTTAACTCATACTTTTGCTTTAAATTAAAGATAATCAGAATCACAGCACAGAATAGCATTACAATATTATACAATCATGAGATTTTAAGACCAGAAGGGAGAATTATGATCATCTTGCCTGATCTCCTATATAACATGCCTATAAAAAAGCAGCATCCAGGATTTTGAAAAATCTTTAAAATTTTTTAATCTTTATCACTGAAAAATCAGAAAGTTAGAGTAAAGGAAGTAGTCTCTAATGTTTCCATTTGTATTACTTGCTTAGGATACAAAACTTAGACTACTAAATCAGTTATGAACATATTAAATGGATTGTTGCCCACTCCATCTCAAAGCTGCAGTTTAAACAATCCATTCAGAACTAAACACATTTAAATATATAGTAATTAAATAAGCAGAAAAGACAGAAGTGCAGCAGCTGCATATGAAAAGCTCAGGTGCCAGCTGCTGAACATAGTTTTTATAATGCAGAAAACTGCTGCTTAAAGAGTAGAGCTTTACTGGTAGAGCTGCTTAAAGAGATTTTATCTTTGCAGTAGAAAAAAAATTAGCCACTGGCAATCACTGGTACATATAAACTGTCAGTTGTAATGAACAACAGCTAGCACTGTCCTAAAACCTACCCCCTCCTCCCAACCCCCAAAGAAAAAAGAAGCACCATAAGTTTTTACCAGATCTACTTCTGGTGACTTGCCCAATTTTGTGCAACTGTAAAATGTTTTTAAACAAATAAAACAACAATGAACAGGTAAGCTACCAAGAACAAATTCAAACATGGCCCAATAAAGCTGCCTTCTTTTTAAATACATATAACATGAAAACAAACATTAACTGCATTGAAAATTTCAAGCAATAAAAGCAAACTGTGTGACCTAACAGACTAACCATTTTTAGAAAAAAAACGAAGACTTTGTGGGCCGTTTTAGAATCACAGAGCATAATGCAAGCTAATACCATATTTACCTGAATTCAAGATGACTTCAAAGTTAATACAACCTCCCCAGTAATGAGATTCTATTCATGGAAAATGCATACATTTGTTATACATTTTCCATGCATAGAATCTAATTATTGGAAGGTCATCTTAAATTTGTCCCCCTAACCACTGCAACAGGGAAAACAGTTGCAGGGATAACGGCAGTTGGAACAGGGTAGTCAAGCAGCCTGCTCCCTGCCCCCAACTCCACTTGCCTCTCCTGCTACATAACCCCAATTCCTTGGAGGCTGCCCCATGCCCAGGATGCCCCCTACCTGCCACTTGCCCCCCACTGCTGCCTGTCCCCCTTCACCACCCCACTGTCACTTACCCAATTGCAGCTCTTGCTCTGGTTCCACTCTGACCCAGGCCAGAGCAGCATGCAGGGGGCAGTGGCCATGGGGGGCGGGAGGCATGGAGGGACAGCAGCTATAGCTCCCACCCCAGGTCAGGACTGGAGTGAGATCAGAAACCCAACCCCCCCCATCCCTACACACACACTTGTACTCATGTCCACGAGATGAGGGGCTCTTTGCCCCATGTTGAATGTGGGGGAAAACCCCCCTCTGTCTTGGATTTGAGCAATATGGTATGTTGATACTGAGTACCATCTGGTTGAAAATGTATTTAGAATTCTGAGCATCTAAAATGTTAGTACCACACTTGCATATTTCATGCATAGTTTCCTCAAAACTCAGCCACCTCCCCAAACAGAGGTGAATGTCTTAAGAAGGCAAGCTGATTTTTCTGTCTAGAACAGAATCACCCTGCTTTAATTCCTGCTCCAATGTGCAGCAGCAGCAACACTATTCAAGCAGCTGAGGAAGTCAGTTGACTTACTGGCTCATTGTTCTTCACTCCACAGGTATTAATATTTAATCTATCCTTTTAATGGCCTCGGTTATACTAATCAGGCGAACCTTTCTTCAGGCAACTTTGCTGTCTTTAGCAACTCCTGATTTCTTCTCCTATCCCATAGCCCTGGAGACTCCTAGTCCATATTTTTGACAATGATCAGTACAAGATGCTGTCATAGAAAAGTGCAAGGAAAGTTGTGGGTAACTACAGAATAACCCACTCAGAGAAAATTATTTTCTAGTCCCCAGTGCTTAGTCAGCTTATGTCCTAAAACATATAGATTTGTATACCTTATAAATTCTTTATTCTACCTAAAGCAATTGTAGGGTTAAGTACAGATAGTCAAAAAGGGCAAGGCTAAAAAGCACCCCAGGGGAAAACCAGGAATAACGGTCATAAACTCCTAGAAGGAGGTTTCAGACTGGATATAAGGAAAAACTTTATGGTTTGTGTGACCAGACTGTGGAATAGACTCCCAGTGGGCATGGTGCAGGCGCCTACCCTGGAGATCTTCAAAAGGAGACTGGATGCACACCTTGCTGGGGTTATTTGACCCCAGCAGTCTTTGCTGCCTAGAGCAGGGGGGCTGGACCCAATGCTGTCATGAGGTCTCTTCCAGCCCTAATCTCCTGTGAATCTGTGAATTCAGTCTTTGCAGGTTAGTCTAAGCTGCAAAGATTAAACTGAGAAACAACTGGAAATACATTTACTTTTGATTCAGAAAATGCAGTCACATGCCTGCAGTAGCTCAGGCCAGAAGCTGGGGGGGATGCTAGAGCATGCACCTCTGGCACATAGCCAGCATGGGCTATGCGTTCCCTTCCTCTTCATGCTGCCCCTGAGGTCTCTGGGATTTGCAGTCCAGAATCACAGCAGCAGGACTCTACAGGGTTGCTTACAGAGCCAGACACAGGCATGGGCAACCCGGGTGGCCACCTGGCGCCCAGACAGAAAGGGTAATTTTTTCCCATTGTCCGATTATTATTATCATCATCTCTGGTGAAGGGAGGCCCGATACTAAAAGTTTGCCGGGGACTGCCAGGAATCTAGGTATGGTACTGGTTGCTCATCACTTCCTAATTCCAGGTGTCTCTGGGATTTGTAGTCCACAGTCACAGCCAGCAGTAAGTTTCTATAAGTTTAGCAGGGAACGGGAGCTCTGTACTCAGGGGAAGGTGGGTTTAACCCCACTCCCTGGCCCCAGACCCAGCCAGCTGGAGCAGACAGCACAGCCCAGTCCAGAGGTAGAAAGCATGCCAGGATGCTAGGGGAGTGTGATTTAACTTAAACCAGGAAGGGGTCTGGGACAGAAGTTTCATAAACCAGTTCAACCTAAATCAGTTAAGTCTGATACTACATTCAATCAGGTTTATCTTACACCAGTTTCAGCCATTTTGAAACTGGTTTATGTGCACTGAGCTTCTGTTCTGTTACAGGTTTAAACCAGTTTCTGATTACTTAAACCAGTTTATGTGTAATTTTTATCCCTAGCCACAATGTCTCATTATTCATACAAAAGTTTTGATTTTTTTTTCCAGTTAAGTTTAAGTCCTATTTTCTTGTGGCAGCAAGTTTCAAATGTTTTGGGCTCTTTAAAAATGTATTTGTGCGAGCGTGAAACATTCAGCCTTTCCATTTCATAACATCCCCCATTTTCTTGCATGATTAAAAGAGAAAACAGTATCTATATCATATTTCCCCTTTCCAAATTAACTGATCCCAAGCTTTTTAGTCTGTCCATGTCTCTAAATAATATTATTTACCCATGAATCCCTTCTACTCCTACTGTTTTTTTTAAAGTTATACATAGTAATGAGCTGTAGACATAAAAATACATGCAATGCCATTACTGTTTCATCAACATTTTGTATTCAGTTCTTCATACATTTTAAGATTTTCTGTGTGTTCTGACCACTACCAAACACTAAGTGGAAAGTTTCTGAAATGCCCACAATGACTTAGACCTTTTTCCTTGAGTAATTACAGCTGACTTAAAAACAAACTATTTATATAACTAGTTCAGATGATTTGTTTGAAAATGCATTATGTCATATTTCTATATTAGAGGAGGTCCTGTCCAATCATCTTCTAATTTATTTGGTACATCTGAAATTGCTCATAGTCTCCTTTAATCTTAACTAACCTAGGCAGCTTCAAATCTTGTCACCTTACCACTCCTTTTTGAGATATTAATGAGACTAAACCTAGTACAGAAAATAAAGTAATACTACTGTGAACCTTTTACTACAGTGAAACTTAACTTTTTTCCACTCCCACACACCTCTCAGCTAGAGAAGTTTCTGGTAAAAACAAGATACTCCAACTTTGTTTTCTGCATATGTAACCTGCATGTCTCCATTGTCCAAGAAAACCAACTAAAAACAGATCTGTGAGCTGCACATTTAATATGCCCCAGTTATATATCCTTAACTTTCCTTGGAAGGTCAACTGTAAAGAATTCAACATCTGCTTGAAAACAAATGATGCTCATTATGCAACTGAGTGTTTCAAAGATAAAATCCACAAAGCATCCAGGTCTGAAAAAAGAGAGTTGGAGTGTTTTGGATATATATAGACATTTGTCCGGATTATATATAATTTTATTTGTACAAGGGGA